AGTACCCTGCTCTCTAACCAGGAAGACTTGGTGACTGCCTCTACTAACAGGATGCAAAGGAAGTGATGCAATATGACTTCTAAGGCTAGGTCACAAAATGCCACGCACGTTTAAGTTGGTTTTAGTTCTTGAAAACCAGCAGTCTAATTATGAGGGAGCTCACTCAAGTAACCTGCGGATCAGCCTCATGGGGAGGAATAAAGGCAATTGGTCCACAGCTCAGGCTGACCTCCCAGCTGGCAGCTAGTGCCAACTTGCTAGGTGTGCGAGTGCACCATCTTGAAAATGGATCACTAGCCTCCAGTTGAACCAGCTGACATTGCATAGCGCAGAGATAAGCCTTTGCTGCTGAGTCCACCCCAAATTGCATCCCAAAATGAGTCCAGCCCACTCATTTATATCAAGATAAATGAGTGGGATGGTTTGTTACATAAAAGCAGGAAACAGATAGAAAACAGTAGGAAACCCCCACTCATTCTCTTTACCTTCCACCACCAGAGTTGCGCAAAAGTCTTGGGGTCTTAACCTAGGCCCAGAAACCAGCAGGGAATTGGCCCCTAGTTTCTTGCCGACAAGTTATTTGAAAACTCTTGTTTGGCTGTTCCTCTGCCGCCTATGGGGTGGGGGTATCTTCTGAGAGCCTGAGAATCCTATAGCCACACCTCTTAGAGGTCCTACAAAACCATCTTCCTCTCCTCCAAGTTGGCCATGGATATCTTTTCTCAAGACTTTATAGGATGGGGTTCTTCTCATCCCTTTTCCTACCTCCAGAACTCCCGGCTCCACCTCTGCAATGGGTTAAAGAATTTCCAAAAGTGGAGTCTCTCACTAGAAGTGTCTGTGTTCTCTGCCTGGCAAAATGCCCAAGGCGAGTCACGACAAAGCTTGCCTTCTGCTGGAGGAGAGAGAATAGGGACAATGCTAGGAGAGCCAACCCATGTGATAGTTCAGTGAATGACTCTGCTGTGGTTTGAATGTATTCGAAACTGAATCCCCAAATTCGTATGTTGATGTTATTTGGGGGTAGGGCCTTTGGGAGGATTAGATTAGGTCATCAGGATGAGGCCCTCATGATGAGGACTGGTGGTTTTATAATAAGAGGAAGAGAGACCTGCGGTGGCATGCCCTTGCCCTCTCACCACGCGATGAGGCAGCAAGAAGACCCTCACCAGATGTGGCCCCTTGACCTTGGACTTCCCAGGCTCCAGAACTATACAAAATAAAATTCTTTTATCAATTACCCAGACTGTAAACAGAAAATGGACTAAGATAGACTCAGATGCACATCTACTCAATGACGGTCCCTAAAGCTTCCAGACACTGTGCTAGACACTACAAGGGAGACAAGGCCAAATGGCAGTGCCACCAGAGACCTGGACAAGAGGGCACCTGTGGCCACCCAGAGTCCACACCTGACCTTGATCCTGCTTCAGGTGTCTAAAAACCTAGACCACCCAGCTGGCCCAAGCCAGTTTTTTTTTTTTTTTTTGACAGGGTCTTGCTCTGTTGCCCAGGCTGGAGTGCAGTGGTACAATCTCAGTTTACTGCAACCTCCAACTCCCTGGCTCAAGCAATTCTCCCTCTCAGCCTCCTGAATAGCTGGGACCACAAGCACGTGCCACCACACCTGGCTAATTTTTGCATTTTTTTGTAGAGATGGGGTTTCACCGTGTTGTCCAGGCTGGTCTTCAGCCCCGAGCTCAGCAATCCTCCTGCCTTGGCCTCCCAAGGGGCTGGTATTACAGGTGTGAGGCACTGTGCCCAGCCCCGCAAGCCAGTTTTAAGTCTTACAAAGCCCCCTGCCCGGGTACCATCCTGAGGGTACATCCTGTCCCTGGAGTGTGCACCCAGAGAGAGGTGACCAAGAGATGGCTTGGCGTGTGGGCAGAGTTTGGGTGCATGAGCTGGAGTGTCCACATGCCTGAATCCTAGGCCACTTGTGACACAAGACAGAGATGGGGATAGGAAGAGAAGTGGAGTGGGTGGCCTGAAGACTAGGGCCAGGCTATCCTCCCACACTGCCATGTTCTTGCATAAAATTCTAAAAAGTCCAAGAATTCTCAAGTTGAACATGGTCTTCCTGGTCCTTAGAAGGGAAGTTTGAATGTATTGGAAACTGAATCCTAACTTCATATGCTGAGGCAGGAGAACACACATATTTTATTTTACAGTCTGTTAAATATTTTGATACAAGGTATCTGGTCCTCAATTTGCACTCTTGGGCTCCCTGTGTTCAGGTAGGTCTGCATAACAGGATTAGCGCTCCAGGCCCTGCGCTCCTACAGGAAGGCACTCTTCCGTGGGGCTCAGACAATGACAGGGAGTATGGCAGAGATTCTAGAAGCTGCCTGCAGACTGCTGTCCATGTCACCGCAGCTGCCTCTATCTCTAATCTGGAGTGGCAGGGCAGCAAGGAATAGCAGATGGGACTCACATGAGGAAATGCCTTCATGAGGGAGGGGACAGCAGGAGGGGATCCAGCTGTTTTGCCAATGGCCAGTCCCTGTCTGTCATGCTGGAGCCCTATTAACTTCAGTAGGGATGGCACGAGGTTCAAGAGGCTGAAGGAGAGACCTGAGCCAGCAATGGGGACATGGAGTTTTATTGGGAAACTTACACACAGGGATGGTCCAGTGGCAGTGGGCTCGACAGAACTGTACAGTCCCATGGCTGGCTGGGCGGGAGAACCACGACTGCTTACAAAAAGCCTGCAGTTTACACATGACTCTCACTTACCACCCTCCCCCTAACGGCCCCCACCTGATAACCTTCATTTAGCCCCAAACAAAGAGCCTTGAGCCCCTGTACAGCCTGTGTTTCACAGGATGGGTCATGGTTCAAATGTTCCTCACAGATAAGGAATGAATCTCCAGGTTGGCCATCCCACTTCCTTAGCTGGAAACTACAAACACATTTGGGTGCATCAGTCATACAGGGCCATTCTCAGGGTATGCTTAAGTCAAGTTACTGCTGTCAGGAGCATCTGCCAGACACCATCACAAACACCCCTAGCTTGGAGGGAGGGGGTGTGGAGTAGGGTGGAACAGGAGGGTTTTTACGCCCATTTTGCATGGGCTGGGTAGGCTAGGGGTCTGAAACCCAGCCCAAGACAGAATGGCACAGTGGTTCTCAAAGTGTGGTCCCCGGACCAGCATCCACATCATCTAGGAGTTTCTTAGGAGCTTAACCTCCTAAGATGGTGTCTCTACAGGTGGGACATGCTGCTGGGTTTAAATGATTCCCCAACCTCACTTCTCTGCCTTGCTGTGGGAATTCTATGAAGGAAACTTTTTACTGAAAAGAGAACATTTCTGAGCCTGTACGGCATTCAAACAGTGAGCCAAATACTTTATGAATGCTGTCACATGTAATCTTCAACAGCCAATGTCAAGATCGGTATTATTGTTATGGCTTTTGATTGTTACTCCCTGTTTAAGGGCTCATCCCAGAGAGGTTAAGTAGTTTGCCTTGTCCTGGGTTTAAAAAGTAACCAGGAGGCTACCCATGTCTGCGTGATTCTTTGACCACCCTAATTCTTTACAATGTGCTCAACAGTGGTTCATGCTTGAATGTGATTCAGAATCACTTGGAGGCCTTATTAAAACCAATTGCCCCACAGTGTTCCATTCAATAAGTTGTGAGGGGCGTCAAAATACACATTCCTAACAAGTTCCCAGATGATGTTGCGCCTGGTTCAGGGACCACAATGTGAGAACTATAGTGCTGGGCTGGGATCCAGCACCCCCCGCCCCCACCACTCTACCCATGCAAAGCGCCCATAATCATACCCTCCCACAATGGTGTGTTGTGAGATGCCAATGAGATAATGGGAGCAAAAGAGCTTTGTCAGCTGCACAGGTGAATGCCCCTGGTCATTAACCAGGTGATCTAGCTGAGGCTGGTCCCCTGGAGCCTGGAGGGGCAGAGGGCTGAGACACAGGGTGGGGCACCGCGGCCATCTAGAAAACTCTTGAAGCCCACCTCAATTCTGGGCCACTTTTTCTTCAGGGAGAAAGCCAACTTTGAGGGCTCAGGGCTGTGGTCCCTCCTGCCACTCTTCTCATCAAGCCACACCTCCTCCCTCACCTCAGATAGCTGCTGGGCACTGCCTCAGCACTGGCTGGCCTGGGCCACTTCTCCGGGGGCCAGTCCAGGCAAGCTGGGGCAGCTCAAGCCTGTGACTCAGGACCTGAGGCTGGATCCCACTCACGCCTGCCTCCACCATGAGATTCAGAGCCCACAACTTCCCTTCTCTGAGCCTTCAACTGCACATTAGTAAAACGCATGCAACGGGTGTACCATGAGTTGTGGGAATTCAAGGGCTAGAACTTTATACAGCAGTTGGCATAGAGCCTGGCGCCTGGCAAGGGTTCAATCAATGATAGTATTTTCAAAAAGTGCCTGGGCCCAGGCCGCCTCTTAATAGAGGCCCCGACTTGGAACGCAAACCGCTCCCACGCCGTTCCCCGGCTGCACCCGGATACACCCGCCCTGGAATGCCAGCGTGGGGGCCCCAGGGCTACCCGCCCCGAGTTGAAAGGGGCAGGGCAGGGGAGGATTAGGAAGGCGCTGAGCCTAGGCTGGGGCGAGGAGGGCGTGGCCTCACCCTACTAGGGCCAGGGGCGGGGTGGGCCCCAAGGAGAAAGTGAAGGAGGCGGGGGCACTGGGAGGGCCCAGGAGGAGACCGGGGAAAACGAGGCAGTTGTGAGCTGGGCGGGACCGTTAGGAAGCGCCGTGAATGGATAGGAAAGGGGCGGGGCGGGCCTCATCCCCCGTGTGACCTGGGAACGGGGCTGCCGGGATAGAGGAGAGAGGCCTCAGCAGGACTGGGAGAGGGGCGGGGCCTCAGCGCCAGCTGGGCCCGGGGGCGGGGCTGGCCGGGGTAGGGCCGTAGTGGGCGGGACCTGGCCGGTGGGAGTGCACCGTCTCACCACAGGGCTCGGGGGCGGGGCCGGCGGAGGGGCGCTGAGGGGGCGTGTCATCAGGGGGCGGGGCCTGCGGAGTCTGCGGCTTTCCCCGACTGCCAACGAGAGGGGGCCGAGGAGTGACTGAGCTCCGGGCGGCGCAGTCCGACGCCGACTGGGCACGAGCGGGCGACGCTGGGCCTGCAGCGCGGAGCAGAAAGCAGAACCAGCAGGTGAGCAAGAGGCACCGGGCCGGGGGAGTCTCCCGGACAACCAGAAGCGAAGTTATTTTCGCCCCAGCTTCTGCAGCCCGGCTCGGACAGCTTTCCTCGAAACAGTGACAGGTCGGGGCAGCTGGTGGGTGAAAAGGAGCTTTAGCCCCCAGTCCTGAACCCTCAGTTCTCCCACTCTGTCGTGCACCAGCTGCGTGACCCCGGGTCCGTCCCCACACCCGGCTCTGGACCTCCTGGGCTTCAGTGGGAGGAAGTGAACCAGGTGAATTCCACGCTCCGGTTGCCTTTTCTCACTTAAAACCTCGGAAGGTGAGGACTGGCAGGTGAGAGCTGGCTGCAGGTCACCACAGGTGTTCCCATCGCGCTGCCCTCGGCAGTTTCTCTCCCTGGAAAATAGGACTGAGCAAAGCGAATTGCTTTAAAGAGTGCACGAGTTCCTCGGTTGGGGCTCGAACCCAGGAACCCTGGGGAAGCCGAGCCCAAAGCAGGGAGGTTCCATTTCCCTCCTCACCTGCTTCCCACCAATTCTGACAGTTCAACTAAGCCGGACCGCCTAAGACTTCAAGTTGGAAACTCAGTGGGGCTTTTCCAGGTGAGCTGGCCTGAGCAGGGGGTTGGAAATCGGGGAAGAGTTGTTACTCTGGTGAGTGGGGAAGAGAAGGGAAAACCCCACCAATCCTTAGGCCCAGGGCCCCAGGGGCTCTTGCAGCATACCCAGGGTTCATTTCTTGGCTGACGGTTTCTGTTCCTGGTGGTGATGGCTGCTCTGCACTGGGCCCCAGTAGCAGGGCAGCCTCGTTTTGTGGTCAAGGGCTTGGGCTTTAGGATGAAACTGATTTGGATTCCATTTCCCCTCCAAACTTCAGTTTCCTCATCTGTAAAATGGGGAAAATAACAATATCCAATGGTAGCAGCAAGCACGAAATAGAATAATGTGTATTCGCTCCTTAGCAGGGTGCCAGGAAACCAGTGAGACCTCCCTCCATGACAGCTGCTTCGATTTGGACGGGCAGGTGATGGGCTTGCTTCCTGTGGGGAATGAGTCTTTTTTTTTTTTTGGAGAGATGGGGTTGGCTGAAGCCCTTTCTGACCGTGTGAGAGTCAGAAATTGCCACCCACCACCCTGGAGGGATGGGAAGTGTGTCACCTGGAACAAAGAGTGGCTGAGTTTTCTGTAATGTTGCTTGAGGTTGGAGAGTGTTGAGTTAAATAAGCCTAAAAATGTTTACTAGCACCTACTATATGCTAGAGAGAGCTAGAGGGTACAGAGGTGAATTAGCCAGACCTGAGTTGCTGACAATGAAGGCTCCCCTATCCCTACCATGTCCCTGTAGAGAGGATCACTCACATTCAGGGCTTATGGCCAGATGAGAGTTCATGGGTCTGTGTGGACCTGGTGGCTGGAATCCAGCTATACCATTGCACACATGGCTTGGGATGGAGGCGAGGGGCAGTGTGAGCACCCGGTATCTAAGCAGGGTCGGGCACTGAAGGGCACTAAAGGTGCTGCGTTATGTTGGCTCCCTGCATCTTCTGGGAGATGAGCTGTACAGTATGAAACAAACTGGAAAGTACTGTGGGACAGAGACGAATTGGCGGCTGCGCTGTGGCAGGAGACTGTGTGTGTATGTAGGGCAGGGGGAGGTGTTCAGAAGAGTGAGACACTTGAGAAGCCAGGGCAGGGGGTGGGAGTAAGGAGGCTTCCTGGAGTGGGTGAGATTTGAATAGGACTTTCTACCAGGGCTCCTGGTCCTGGTTTGGCTTGGATCAATGTGGGACCACAGTCTCTCCAAGCACTGAAGTGGCATAAATTGGAGTTTAGTATAGTGGGTGAGGGAGACGGTCTGGTAGGTGGTGCCTGTGGTGGGCAGATGTTCATTTCAAAACAGCCTACCTAGTAAGCCTTAATGGAAAGCCCTCCCTGCCACCACCACCTCCTTCCCAAATGATGAATGACAAGGGACTGCAGAAAGCCTGCACCTTCAGGTTGCTTACCATCTGGGAAGGGGCTTAGACAAGAATACCAGTGACTCTGATGCAAGATAAATGAAGAACGGATTAGAGGGATCTTCCAGGCCTTACGGACTGGGAAGACTTCAGTAGTCAGAACAAAGAGGGTGTCTTGGAGAGAGGAAAATGCCTAGGCAGAGGCAGGAGGGCAACCTGTTCTAAGAAGTCTCGAGAAACTGCTGGCTTGCTCATTCTGGCTGAAGTTTGGGACTGTACTGGGATATGCAGTGGGAATAGTAGGTGGGATTAGCTTACGGAGGGCCTCGAATGCCAGGGTAAGAACTTTGGATCTGATTTGCAGAAAGTGGGAGCCACTGAAGGTGTTTGAGGAGAGGAGTGACACAGCAGAGCAGCACCTTAGGAAGATCAGTCTGTGCCAGATGTGCTGGGGTGGAGGCTCCAGTGATCAAGGGATAATAAACCAATGGATACAGTGACAGGGAAGAAGGGGTCTGGGTGGCTTTGGGGATGTCTGCAGCTGGGAGTGAAGGAAGAGACACCAGCCATGGGGATGGCAAAGGTGCCATCAGAGGGGTGGGAGAGGACTTTTCCAGGACATTTGCACTTCTTTCTCTTTTCCACCCTGTCTAGCCCCTGGTATGTAGCAGGGGCTCAGGAAGGTGGCTGGATTGGGTGAGTGGTGGGGGAAGCGGGGGCCGTGTTCCGGGAGGGTAATGATGAGTGCTATGGAGGGGTTTGCCCATGAAGGGAAGGCATCTGGGCTGAATGGGAGCCTGTGCCAGCCAGCGGTAGGTTTGGGAGTGTGTGTGTGTGTGTGTGTGTGTGTGTGTGTGTGTGTGTCGGGGGTGGTTGGAAGAAGTTCCTGACAGTCTCTCCCTCCCATCCCAGCCCAGGGAGGATAGGGGTGAGAGGTTAGCCGTGTGCTATCTCTGGCAGCAGGCAAGTAGTCAGGGCACAGGTTTCCCACAGTGGGGAAACTGAGGCAGGATTTTGGTTCCCCTGGGCTCCTCTGAAGTTTCCGCTGTGTGTGGGCAGCCCCTCTTTCTTGAGGCCTCACCCTTTAGAGTCACAGCCTGGAAGCCCCCACCGGCCATCCCCTTCTACCCTGAGGACCCAACCCTATTCCCCTAAGGACCAGACAGTCCCCCCTCGGCCCATGGCTGAGCAGTCCCAAGTCCTGGGTGTTCCTTCAGCTTTGGAGCATCTGGGGCCAGCTGGCACCCCTGGTTCTGGCTTGGCCTTGGCCCCCTGCTCCAAACCGTTATACCCACTTCCTCCGCTCCACAGGAAGCTCACAGGGGGCGGTTATGACTTAATCAAGAACATCAAACGACCAGGAGCTGGCTCTGTGAGAGGTGGGAAGGGAGGGAAGAGCCTGGGCTGTTTGGCCTGGGCCCTCCGTAGGCCAGAACCTGTTTAATCTCAGCAGGAACTGCCCTACCCACCTGCTTCCCCTCCACTAAGCTGGGGTCTCAGGAGCTGGGAGGGGAAGCCCAGAGGTAAACAGGGACCCAGTGGTGTGGGGTGTGTTGCTCCCCTCACCCCTGACGCTGCCCTGAGAGGGAGGCAGACAACCACAGACCCGGGGCCTCTGCAGCAGGCACAGCTGGTGTCTCTCGGAGGCTGGCTCGTTCCTGACTCACCCCCAGGCTTCCCCCTCCGCTGTGGTTTTCCTGTCGGCAGCTGATTCACCGTGCTGACATGGAGAGGCAGCTGGTGGAGGAGAGAGGCCTGTGTGCTGCTCCTCAGAGCTGGCTCTGGCTCTGACTCTGGCTCTGGCTCTGGCTCTGGCTCGGCTGTGTGTTGTGTGACCTTAGTTAAGTTCCTTCTCATCTCTGGGATTCCTTCCCTGACTTGCCGATGGCCCATTCTTTCCTTGGCTCTCGGGGAGTTCTGGGACCTGGGATCTATTTTTTACAAAGTAGGGAATGTCTGTGAACACCCACCCCTACTCAGGTGTGCACACAAGCAAATGCAGCCCAACACAGAGACACTGGGCAGCACCCCCTCAGACGGAAGCACTTGATCCCCCACCCTGTTCTTTTTACCTTATTTCCCCTACCTGAATCACCTTTATCTACCATCTGCCTGTTCACAGATTAGGGAGGTGATGGTACAGCATGGCGGTAAAGGATCTCAGCCCTGCCAATTTCTAGCTACGTGACCCTTTCTGAGCCTCAGTTTTTGAATCTGTAAATGGGGATAATAATGGTCATGGCTTCATAGGGCATGAGGAGAAAACACAAGGCCAGGCGTGGTGGCTCACGTCTATAATCCCAGCACTTTGGGAGGCCAAGGAGGGTGGAGGTCAAGAGATCGAGACCATCCTGGTTAACAAGGTGAAACCCTGTCTCTACTAAAAATACAAAAATTAGCTGTGCATGGTGGTGCGTGCCTGTAGTCCCAGCTACTTGGGAGGCTGAGGCAGGAGAATTGCCTGAATCCAGGAGGCGGAGGTTGCGGTGAACCGAGATCATGCCATTGCATTCCAGCCTGGGTAACAACAGTGAAACTGTCTCAAAAAAAAAAAAAAAAAAAAAAAAAAGAAAAAGAAAGAAAAAGAGGAGAAAACACAAAAGTATACATGAAACACTTAGGAGTGTTATATCTAGCACATAGTAAATGCTCAGTAGAGGAGAACCATATTTGTTTGCTGCATCTGGCTGGTCTTTCAAGGCTGGTGCCAGGCTCCTTCTCAGGCCCCCATGGACATTCCCAGAGCACCTGCCTTCTGCACAGGGCCTCTGTGCCTCTCCAATATGTGTGCGTCCCGAGAAGCCAGTCATGTCTGGCTGTGCGTGGCTCTCTAGCTCTTCCTGAAAGTGGCTGGGTCTCCTCATTGTGATACTCAGCTTCCTGAGGGGCTGTAGGTCTAAACGTTGCTGGCTGCCTTTCCCAAGCCCCTCCTGGCCTTTCACTCTCTCCTCTGTGCTAGTCTATGCTGAGAACCCTCCTCTTTGATCCTGCTGCTTGGTGGCATATGATGTGTTTCCACAAGCCCTCCTGGGCAGGTGCTGCCCCGTCCCCTCTGTGTCTGTATCACTGATTCCTGGCACACAACAGACATTTGGGGATTGATGGCTGAACGAATAGGTAAGTGGTTCTCCTGGGTGGGGCCAGGGGTATCAGTAGGACCCAGCTTGGTGCCAGATGCCAGGTGACCCCTTGGTAAAGGCAGAGCCAGGAAGCAGGTCTGGTCACCACTGACTGGTCCTTCAGGCCTGTTGGCCCCACTCCTGGAAACTGGATCTAGGGAGATGGGAATGAACTCTGTCCTGGGACTGCTTTCAGCAGAGCTTCTGCTTCTCTTCTGACGCCTGGCTTTTACCCTCCTGAGAGGGGAACAGCACGACTTCCTTCAGCCTAACCCAGTGAGGGGCCACTCTGGCCTTCAGTGAACTCTGACTCAGCCAGAAAGAGCAACTTGGAGTCAGCAGTTGTTTGTGGAAGGTGCCGCCGTCCTGTGGGGACTCAAGCTGGGACCTGGAGAAATGGGATGGTGGCCTCCAGGAAGCCCATCCTGGACATCATCCATGCAGACCCCCAGGTGGGCAGCCCTGGGAAGCCCCACTCTCCCCTCTGGCCTCCTGCCCTGCAGTGAAGGCTTTTGCCCCTTCTCTG